TAACATGTCCATGGAAAAGTATAAGGATTAGTCTAAGGACTAATATTTCGATTAGGCTACGCATCAGGTTTAGTCAATAAACTGGTATTTGAATTAGTCTATGGATTAGACTAAGGTTTAGTATTTATGACGATGGATTATTGACTAACCTAAGGTCTAGTCTATTGTCTATTCTGTTGATTTGTGTGTGGACTTATCTGTAGACTAGACTCGTCAAAAGAATTGCTTATATTTTGAGACCAAGAACGTTTGAAATTGGTGCTTGAGTAGCTTCTAATAACTTCGAAAGCCTTTGTTGAGTTTGACAACAATCTTCATGGAACAATGCCTCCGATTCTAGCTATTTTTGTCGCGAATGGGTGATCTTTGTCTTCAGTGTCAAAATCACCACTTCTTTATCAATCGTAATTTTATATGAGGGGAAATATTGTTAGTTAAGAGATGTCAAGCTGTAACCAACTGTATGTATATGTAAATAAACATCTTTGTAAATAAAAACAAGTCCCCAAAAAAATATGTTTTTATTTTTAAAAAATTTCTACTTCAACATTCACACTTTTGCCCAATGAATGAAAACTGATATTAAATGCAAATATTATTATTTATTCATGATTATTATTGTTGTTGTTGTTTTTCGCAAAAATATAAATAATTGACAAAATATTTGGAATATTTTTTGTTGTTTTTGTATCTAAAAAAAGTTATAAGGCCTTTTTCTTAATGATTTAATTAACACCTTTAAATTTTATTAATTGTTTTATTTTGATATAAATATTTTTGTTTTTTATTTGTTTTAAACATTTGTATCTATTTATTTATCTAGTAAATTCGATCCATCGCCCGATCTCATTGTATTCACAAATGAATAAAAGAAATAAAATGTTTGTTTATTTGTATTTCTGTCTCCGTTTGAATTGAATCGATTGTTAAAAATACAACATATCGGTAGTATTTCTTTTGAAATGACAGGTGCCGGTATTGTTGGTGGTCAGTGGTGGGGTCTTATTGTCTTTATTGATTTAAGAGTATTTTTTTTTGTCGATATTAATATTTTCCATTTGTTTGCAAAATTGTTTATTAATTTATATTTCTGTTTTATTTAGTTTTTTTGTTATTAATTATTTGCATTTTTCTTAAAACGTTTGTTTTTGTCTCTACATGCGTTCATTTGTTTATTTAATTTGCTCTAAAGCGGAGTTGTTAACCTAGACCCAACTAGTGGTGTTTGTTTTGTTTATTTTTGGACCCAACTTTTAAGGCGTTTAGTTTGGTTTTATTTATTTTATGAACGACCTTTAATTGTTGTTTAATTAAAATAATTTAAAATTGAGAAGCAGAGGTTTTTTTAATTCGGTCATATATAAATATTGTATTGATTGGGCCTAATTTCATTTGAATAGTTTCGTTATTCTTAAAACAGGTGTTAAAATACGTTGTTTTGTGTTAAGAGAATTATTAATTAAAGTGGTTAAATCATAATTATAACTATAAACTTATAATTATACAGATTAAGAACCGATCGCGAAATAAATAGCAAACAAAAAATTATGAGACCGATTTACAGTATTCGATGACTAATGAATAAGAGCTCATAAATAATGTTATTATAAAGCGTAGATTAAAGTCTAGCCCATTGTCAAGAATATGGAGTCAAATGCATTCAAAACTACAGTTCAGTATGTATATTGGCAATATTATAGACTCGACTAGACTATTGTCCAAACTATATTCCAGCCTATATAGTCCGGAATATAGTCTAGTCTATAGTCTCCTCCAGCTGATGTATATTTACTGCAGCTGTGTAAATAAATAAATAAGTAAATAAATAGTCTAGTCTATAGTCTAGTCTATAGTCTAGTCTATAGTCTAGTCTATAGTCTAGTCTAGTCTATAGTCTAGTCTATAGTCTAGTCTATAGTCTAGTCTATAGTCTAGTCTATAGTCTAGTCTATAGTCTAGTCTATAGTCTAGTCTATAGTTTAGTCTATAGTCTAGTCTATAGTCTAGTCTATAGTCTAGTCTATAGTCTAGTCTATAGTCTAGTCTATAGTCTAGTCTATAGTCGAGTCTATAGTCTAGTCTATAGTCTATAGTGTAGTCTATAGTCTAGTCTATAGTGTAGTCTGTAGTCTATAGTCTAGTCTATACTCTAGTCTATAGTCTAGTCTATAGTCTAGTCTATAGTCTAGTCTATAGTCTAGTCTATAGTCTAGTCTATAGTCTAGTCTATAGTCTAGTCTATAGTCTAGTCTATAGTCTAGTCTATAGTCTAGTCTATAGTCTAGTCTATAGTCTAGTCTATAGTCTAGTCTATAGTCTAGTCTATAGTCTAGTCTATAGTCTAGTCTATAGTCTAGTCTATAGTCTAGTCTATAGTCTAGTCTATAGTCTAGTCTATAGTCTAGTCGATAGTCTAGCTCTATAGTCTAGTCCTATAGTCTAGTCTATAGTCTAGTCTATAGTCTAGTCGATAGTCTAGTCTATAGTCTAGTCTATAGTCTAGTCTATAGTCTAGTCTATAGTCTAGTCTATAGTCTAGTTCTATAGTCTAGTCTATAGTCCTAGTCTATAGTCTAGTCTATAGTCTAAGTCCTATAGTCTAGTCTATAGTCTAGTCTATAGTCTAGTCTATAGTCTAGTCTATAGTCTAGTCTATAGTCCTAGTCTATAGTCTAGTCTATAGTCTAGTCTATAGTCTAGTCTATAGTCTAGTATATAGTCTAGTCTATAGTTAGTCTATAGTCTAGTCTATGTCTAGTCTATAGTCTAGTCTATAGTCTAGTCTATAGTCTAGTCTATAGTCTAGTCTATAGTCTAGTCTATAGTCTAGTCTTATAGTCTATAGTCTAGTCTATAGTCTAGTCTATAGTCTAGTCTATAGTCTAGTCTATAGTCCTAGTCTATAGTCGAGTCTATAGTCTAGTCTATAGTCTAGTCTATAGTCTAGTCTATAGTCTAGTCTATAGTCTAGTCTATAGTCTGAGTAGTCTAGTTAGTCTAGTCTATAGTCTAGTCTATAGTCTAGTCTATAGTCTATACCTAGTCTATAGTCTAGTCTATAGTCTAGTCTATAGTCTAGTCTAATAGTCTAGTCTATAGTCCTAGTCTATAGTCTAGTCTATAGTCTAGTCTATAGTCTAGTCTATAGTCTAGTCTATAGTCTAGTCTATAGTCTAGTCTATAGTCTAGTCTATAGTCTAGTCTATAGTCCTAGTCTATAGTCTAGTCTATAGTCTAGTCCTATAGTCTAGTCTATAGTCTAGTCTATAGTCTAGCTATAGTCTAGTCTATAGTCTAGTCTATAGTCTAGTCTATAGTCTAGTCTATAGTCTAGTCTATAGTCTAGTCTATAGTCTAGTCTATAGTCTAGTCTATAGTCTAGTCTATAGTCTAGTCTATAGTCTAGTCTATAGTCTAGTCTATAGTCTAGTCTATAGTCTAGTCTATAGTCTAGTCTATAGTCTAGTCTATAGTCTAGTCTATAGTCTAGTCTGTAGTCTAGTCTATAGTCTAGTCTATAGTCTAGTCTATAGTCTAGTCTATAGTCTAGTCTATAGTCTAGTCTATAGTCTCTATAGTCTAGTCTATAGTCTAGTCTATAGTCTAGTCTATAGTCTAGTCTATAGTCTAGTCTATAGTCTAGTCTATAGTCTAGTCTATAGTCTAGTCTATAGTCTAGTCTATAGTCTAGTCTATAGTCTAGTCTATAGTCTAGTCTATAGTCTAGTCTATAGTCTAGTCTATAGTCTAGTCTATAGTCTAGTCTATAGTCTAGTCTATAGTCTAGTCTATAGTCTAGTCTATAGTCTAGTCTATAGTCTAGTCTATAGTCTAGTCTATAGTCTAGTCTATAGTCTAGTCTATAGTCTAGTCTATAGTCTAGTCTATAGTCTAGTCTATAGTCTAGTCTATAGTCTAGTCTATAGTCTAGTCTATAGTCTAGTCTATAGTCTAGTCTATAGTCTAGTCTATAGTCTAGTCTATAGTCTAGTCTATAGTCTAGTCTATAGTCTAGTCTATAGTCTAGTCTATAGTCTAGTCTATAGTCTAGTCTATAGTCTAGTCTATAGTCTAGTCTATAGTCTAGTCTATAGTCTAGTCTATAGTCTAGTCTATAGTCTAGTCTATAGTCTAGTCTATAGTCAAGTCTATAGTCTAGTCTATAGTCTAGTCTATAGTCTAGTCTATAGTCTAGTCTATAGTCTAGTCTATAGTCTAGTCTATTATCTAGTTCATAGACCGGTATAATCCAGTATATAGGCTGGTCTGGAGTACATACAATAGTGTGGGCTATAGTCCAGACAATAATCTATTCTATAGTCGAGACTGTAGTCTAGTCAATAATCCATAATATAGTCGAGTCTGTAATCCAGATTATAGTCGAGTTTATATTCATGACCATAATCGAATATATATTCCAGACTATAAGACTATACATATTTGAGTCCATAGTCAATACTAGTCAATTATAATCAAATTTATAGTCAATACTATAAATTTAATGGCTATAGTCGGTTCATAGTGAATACTACAGTCGAGTCTATGGTAAGGATACAATTCAAGACTATTGAAGGGTAAAAATTGTTCCAAGACTAAAATCAATAAAAGATCGATTTCATTTGCATACAGGAACTGAATCCAATCATGATTGCATTACAATTTTTTAAACAAAACACAAAATCTTTTTAAATGTAAATAATTGTTTTTTTTTTATTTAAATAATATATTTATAATTTTAGCAATAAATATATATTTATAATTTCTAAAAACTAATTTAAAATAAATATAAAATGTATATTTCTTTTAAATACTAATTTGTTTATAACCCCAAAAAATATTTGAATTATTGTGTGAAATTTAATTTTAAATATTAAAGTTAAAACTAAACAATCTACAAATATTTAATCGGGTTATGATTACCATTTTCCATGAAATGCATAAAAGAAAACTTAAAAATAAAACATTTTCTGATTATCACACGAAAAAAGAAGACTTATTAACTAAAAATAATTAAATTAAAACATTCAATATGAAATTGTTTTTTAAAAATAAGAAAACTTAAAATTAAAATAATTTGGTTGATAAAATTTTTGGATGTCTTTGTAAAGCAAAGAAAAAGTTTTAAATAGGTGATTTACATGCCCTGACAGGTGGACATGCAGGCCTTATAGCTGGGGAAATTATTTTCGTTCCCATCACAACCTCCAAATTTGAATTCAACACAATCTTTCTTGTTTGCATCATAACTCCAGCGTGGTATTAGAGCACGGCACACACCCTTACGGGCGGGCATACGACAGAATTCTTTGGGTTCCATTTGATTAGCATCTTTAGCACCGGGTACATCATCCAATGACATGGTATCAAAGAAAGCACTAACATCATCGTACAAATCCCATGGTTTAGCCAGGGCCGGTGTCGAATACAGACTCACAATCAACACGCTGGCAAAAGTCAAATATAAAACACTTGTGGGCACTTTGAAGAACATTTCTAATTTTTTTTTCTAACACTTTCAAAATAATAAACTTTAATCTATTAACTTCTGTTTTAGTTTTATCAAAATTTTAACTTTCAAATTTAAAATTTTTTTTTATTTTGATTTGTCTTTTGTGTTTCTACTTTGTTTCACTGTTGGATTATGTTTGTTAACTGAACATGGGCTGTATGCTGCAAGTGGTTATATACTTTTTCGCCAACATTTCTTTTGCCATTTTCGATGACGTGCTGCGGTTGTAAGCAAAACAAAATAAACGAAATGAAATTAACAAACAAAACGATCGTCTGTCAGTTAGTGAGCCAGACAGACACCTTTCGAATGTGTGTTAAACAGTAGAGCATGATGGGTCGTTTGGTCTCTCTTACAAAAACAAAAATTCCATCTTTGTTGTTGTTGGACTTTGTTTGTCTGGATTATTTGTGTGTGTGTGTGTGTGTAGATATGTGTGTTAACGAAGAGTTAAATGAGTTGTTATTAGTGTTACCATAAGCCAAGTTAGTAAAACAACTTTTATTATCGGAAGATTTAGATGATTTTAAGTTTATAGTCAGAACTATAGTAGAGTCTATAGTCAAGACTATAGTCGAGTCTATAGTCAAGACAATAGTCGAGTCTATAGTCAAGACTATAGTCGAGTCTATAGTCAAGACTATGGTCGAGTCTATAGTCAAGATTATAGTCGAGTCTGTAGTCAAGATTATAGTCGAGTCTATAGTCAAGATTATAGTCGAGTCTATAGTCAAGACTATAGTCGAGTCTATAGTCAAGACTTAGATGATTTTAAGTTTATAGTCAGAACTATAGTCGAGTCTATAGTCAAGACTATAGTCGAGTCTATAGTCGAGTCTATAGTCAAGATTATAGTCGAGTCTATAGTCAAGACTATAGTCGAGTCTATAGTCAGGACTATAGTCGAGTCTATAGTCAAGATTATAGTCGAGTCTATAGTCAAGACTATAGTCAAGACTATAGTCGAGTCTATAGTCAAGATTATAGTCGAGTCTATAGTCAAGACTATAGTCGAGTCTATAGTCAAGACTGTTGTCGAGTCTATAGTAAAAACTATAGTCGAGTCTATAGTCAAGACTATTGTCGAGTCAATAGTCAATACTATAGCCGTGTCAATAGTCAATACAATAGACAAGACTATAGTCTAGTCTAGTCTAGTCTATAGTCAAGACTATAGTCTAGTCTATAGTCAAGACTATAGTCTAGTCTATAGTCAAGACTATAGTCTAGTCTATAGTCAAGACTATAGTCTAGTCTATAGTCAAGACTATAGTCTAGTCTATAGTCAAGACTATAGTCTAGTCTATAGTCAAGACTATAGTCTAGTCTATAGTCAAGACTATAGTCGAGATTATAGTCAAGACTATAGTCAAGACTATAGTCTAGTCTATAGTCAAGACTATAGTCTAGTCTATAGTCAAGACTATAGTCTAGTCTATAGTCAAGACTATAGTCTAGTCTATAGTCAAGACTATAGTCTAGTCTATAGTCAAGAGAATAGTCTAGTCTATAGTCAAGAGTATAGTCTAGTCTATAGTCAAGACTATAGTCGAGTCTATAGTCAAGATTGTAGTCGAGTCTATAGTCAAGACTATAGTCGAGTCAATAGTCATGATTATAGTTGAGTCTATTCAAGACTATAGTCGAGTCTATAGTCAAGGCTATAGTCTTGTATATAGTCAAGACTATAGTCGAGTTAATGGTCATGACTATAGTCGATTCTATAGTCAAGACTATAGTCGACCCTAATGTCATCACTGTAGTTGAGTGCATACAGAAGACTATAATCGATTCAATCGTCAAGAATATAGTCGAGTCTATAGTCAAGACTACAGTCGAGTCTATAGTAAAGACTATAGTCGAGTCTATAGTCAAGACTATAGTCGAGTCTATAGTCAAGACTATAGTCGAGTCTATAGTCAAGGCTATAGTCGAGTCTATAGTCAAGACTATAGTCGAGTCTATAGTCAAGAGTATAGTCGAGTCTATAGACAAGACTATAGTCAAGACAAGACTATAGTCTAGTCTATAGTCAAGACTATAGTCTAGTCTATAGTCAAGACTATAGTCTAATCTATAGTCAAGACCATAGTCTAGTCTATAGTCAAGACTATATTCTAGTCTATAGTCAAGACTATAGTCGAGACTATAGTCAAGGCTTTAGTCAGGGGTTTAATCAAGACCATAGTAAAGCTAATGGTTAACAATGGAGTATATACTATATAGTAAACCATAATCTTTTGATATTTACAAATTAAACTCTCACCGCTCTCACTCTCTCTCTATGCTCTTTCTTTCTGTATATAAATATTTTTCTTATTATGTACTTAATGTACATACATATTTTGACCAACTACTACTACGCATGCGTCACGTATCACATTAAGTGTGTGCTTTTTTTCGTATTTACTTGTTATTTTATGTTGTTGTTGGGGATTTCTTCTTCAAATGTATCATTTGATTTTTATAAACATTGTTTATCTGTCTGTCCATCTCTGTTTGCTGGCCTTTAGTAATTCACATGAATTTACCCACTTTATATGCGAAGTATTTTTTTTACGTTACGTGACGTCATTTTCACAGTAATTACCAATTTGCAGCAATTGCAATTGTAGATGATTTTAATGTTGGTTTATAAATGCTCGTTGTCTCTTTGTTGGCCTGTACGTTCGTCCGTCCGTTCATCTGTCTGTCTGTCGTACATATTATCTGTTGAATAGTATTTTGTGTGGATTTTTTCTGTTTAATCATCACTTTGTTTTTTCTCGCACGCTTGAAACTCGGGTAAACAAAGTCATGACGTTTTATCTCTAGGTATTTTTTCTGTTGATTTTTTATTTATTTTTTTTTTTAATTTTTATACAATTACTTTAACGTGCAAATATTTACTACTTGTAGCTTCACCGTAAATCTGCTGGCTGAGGGGCTGAGTGTGTTCCAGGTGGGGATTTTTCTAGCCAATATGCTTTGTTTCAAGTGTCTGAGGTTGTTGCAGCCATTCCCGGTGGTATTTCTCTTTTGTTACTTAAAGTACAAGTTAAAAAATTATTTACGTTTTTCTTTATACAAATATAATAGTAAATTTTTTTTATAAAGTATAACTTTAAAAAGGAGCATATTTGTTTTTGTTTCTTCTTACAGGGAAGTGAGACTCTTGAGCTAACCCATAAAATAGTTAATGGCTAAAAGCCAATAAGACATTTTTTAAGTAAAATAATTTTCTATAGTCATAAAAATTAGTGAATGAATATACATTTTATGATAAAAATGTTCCGGAAAAAGTCGTGAAAATCAAATTCAATAACTTTTGTATGAAAATCGTGATAAATTGTAATGAAAACCTGTTATTTAAAAAACAGGTTTGTCATAGACTAGTTAACATACAAGTCAACAGACTAGTCAAGAAAGAATTCTAAAGATTAACCCATAGACTAGACTAAATAATTGACTAGTCAACAGACTAACCAATACTAAACTTGTTAATAGAGTAGTTCATAGACTAAGTAGTCAATAAACTTGTCTATAGAGTAGTTCAGAGGCTTGTTATTAGACTGGTTCATAGACTAGTTCATGGACTAGTCAATAGACTACTTCATATTAAACTCAATAGACTATACTAAACTCTAGTTATTAGACTTGTCCATTGAGTAGTTTATAGATTAGTTCCAAGACTATTTCATATATATACTAATCACTTGTCTATAGAGTAGTTCCTAGAATAGTTCATATATAACTTATTAGACTAGTTCATAGACTAGTTAATAGACAAGTTCATAGACTAGTTCTTAGACAAGTTCATAGACTAGTTCTTAGACTATTTATTAGACTAGATTATTGAGTAGTTAATAGACTACTTAGTTCATAGGCTATTCAATAGACTAATTCATAGACTAATCAATGGACACTTCATAGACTAGCCAATTGATAACTTCATAGACTAGTTAATAGACTTGTCCATGGAGTAGTTCATAGAATAGTTAATAGTCTAATTAATAGACTAATTCATAGACTAGATTATAGTCTAGTCAGTAGGCTTGTCTATAGTAGTTTATAGACTAGTAGTTTATAGACTAGTTTATATACTAGGCAATAGACTAGTTCATAGACTAGTCAATTGATTTTTTCAACAGACTAGTCAATATACAAGTTCTATTCTAGTCGATGGGCTACTCTAATCAATTGAGTAGTATATAGGCTTGTTAGTAACCAATAGACGAGTCAATAGGCTAGATATTAAAATAGTCAATAAACTAGTTCATAAAGCAGTCAATAGCTGTGTCTCGAGTCTATAGTCACGACTATAGTAGAGTTTATACTCAAGACTGTAGTCGAGTCTATACTCAAGACTGTAGTCGAGTCTATAGTCAAGACTATAGTCGAGTTTATAGTCAAGACTATAGTCGAGTCTATATTTAAGACTATATTCGATTCTATAGTCAAGACTATAGTTAAACTGTAGTCGATTCTATAGTCAAGACTATAGTCGAGTCTACTGTCAAGAGTATAGTCAAGTCTATAGGCAATGAACTAGTTCATAGAATAGTTCATAGAATAGTCAATAGAGTAGTTCATAGACTAAGTAGATTATAGATTAGTCAGTACAGTAGTTCATAAACTAATCAGTAGACTAGTCTGTAGATAAATTAATAGACTAGTTCACAGACTAGATCATATACTAGTTTATAGACTAGTTCATATACTAGTTCATAGACTAGTTCACAGACTAGTTCATAGACTAGTCCATAAACTAGTTCTTAGACTATTCACTTGATTTTTCATAGAATAGTCAACAGAATAGTCAATAGACAAGTACCTTTACTAGTCTATGGGTTATTCTAGTCAATAGAGTAGTGAATGGACTTGTTAGTACCTCATCGACTAGTCAACAGGCTGGATATTAAACTAGCCAATAGACTAGTCCCGACAATATTCAGTAGAGTAGTCTATAAACTAGTTCTTAGACTAGTCAACAGTCTAGATCTAAGACTAGATAATAGAATTGGTAATGTGTTAGTCCCTAGACTAGACAATAGTCTGACTAGATGACGTACTAGACAATATTGTAGTCCGATGATTAATCAATGGTTTAGTCTATATTGTAGTTATCAAACTACGTAATCGTCTAATTAATATACTA